AAAGATTGCTGTCCCCTTCATGCCATGCATCCTGTCCCTGTACAATTAACCCTCTGAGTTTAACATAATTTTGAACCAGGAGATGTTTGCAGCATGGTGTTTATGACAGTTTTCTTGAATTTATTTCACAAGGCACAACCAAAGGGTTCTAGTAATATTAAATCCAAGGAAATTTACATATTCATGAGCGTTTTTGAAATAAAGTAGCATGAACTCTGCTGTTTTCTTTAATATGTCTTCGGACATTGACAATTTAGTTGTTTCTCACTGGTCAGAGCTGGTCCTGTGGTGAGAGCACCCAAACTACCATGTCATAACAAACAATAGATACATTTGAACATCATCTCAAGTACAAAATGCAACTATACTCAACCTAGCATGCTCTGCATTGTGAATATATGCTATGTTATGATGGCCCTGATGAAAAGCCGATTTTTCTTTTGTCTATGAGGAATTATGCATTCCATACAAACCCCCACACTTACTGGAACCTGGGGTCAAGAAGTGAATAAAATCCTTTCATCGCTGATGCAAAATCTCACAGTAAACATTTTGATTACATTTTTAAGCGTCTAATAGTCCCTTTAATTAGCGATTTCTGACTTCCTGCTCCTACATAGAGACCGTTTTATGGAGAATATGTGGAGAATTGGGTTATGGCAACTGTTAATCAGGGTGGAGGATGGACATTTTGCCAGTGGGGGGCTTCTTTAGATTGAATTGCATCATGAACTCTTGAACTTATTAGATGATATTAAATAAAAGTAATGGTCAGTGCGAGAAAAGATAAAAGGGGTAACTGGAACACAACGGCACAAATTAAAGGTTGGATTTCTACTTCATGCTTTTTGAGACTCAGCCAATGAAAGGATTTTAAGATTTATTTACACTTCTAAGCAGGAATTTCAGTGTGAAAATAGTATGAGCCTGGGTACAGTAGCAGCAAGTAAACAGGAGCAGGGTGGGCATCATTAAGGGGGAATTTGGTAAATCTACGACTTTGTGCTGCGGAATGCTCATCCCCTTCATCCATTGTCTATACGCGTTATCTACCACAGCACAACTTTCACTAACTATGTTGTCATTTTTAGCTCTGTGTACCTGTTATAAGGCCCAGGTAATTTCCCTCACCACAGTCAAGAAAACCCTTCATCTCTCCAAGCCACTAAGAGCACAAAATAAAACCAATTTAGCTCTGAGAGTCTGGAAAGCATCAATGTTTATGAAGAAAAGAAGCATCTTTAAATTCTCAAGAAGACCTAAATGTAAAAATATTTGGAAGCTTCTTGTTAAAATAAGCAAATCTTTCAGAGTTAAAGTGAAATGCCGGCTTATTTGTCTTAAGCTTTCCCAACCAGGGAGTGTTTGCTGTGCAACAGGCCTTGATGACCAGGATGAGGGTTTGTGGTTGAGAGGAACAAAAAGGAAGCTGTAATTTTATACCTGTGCTTTGTAAATGTTTTCTATGTGCAGTATTTGATAATGTAAAACTGGTATTTTTGTGGTTTGTACGCTGCAAAATTGATTACTTAAGGTGCACGTAGTTTTGTAATAAAAAGGAATAAAACTAGAGCCAAACTGAGGGAGAAATGAAAACTATTTGGGATTCTGAAGCCTGTATTTGCATGCCCTTTGACATCTGGACGCTGAAATAAATAAAGTTCATTCGAATCACCCACCTTCTCTGTATTTCACATTTCTTTTTTTTCCAACGTTACTACAAAGGTTGTAATTGGTGTTTAAAGGCACTAGAGAGCAGTAGAAACAAACCAACCATGCTGCTTATATCTATATTTAATATCTATGTTCCATCCTATTCTATTTATTATACAACTGCAACATTTTTAATACTTTAAAAAGAAATTGGAAACTATTAATTATCTTTTTTAAATTATATATTTTTAAAGAAAGAAGGAAACTAAGCAAACAAATATAAGAATAAGTGTTAAACAAATCTGATTATCACAAGGTCACTTTTTTTTCCACAAATAGTCAAAATATGTTCAGGGTCATATATAAACAGAAACGGCAAAAATATTTGGATAACCTCCCCGTGGTGCATCACTGGTGACATTCCTGCTCACTGCATGCCTGCTTTATGGCGCTTGTTTGGAATCATTGTCCTGGAAGAAAAGTCAGATCGAGTCTGACCCAAAAGTCATCCTTAGATATAATCTCATCGAATCTTATTAACTGCTCAGGTCTTTTAACACCCCAGGAATCACTAATACCAAGCCTTTTACAAACTGGGACCCTTAACTGAAGGGTGGGGACTGAAAAAGATGCTCCAAGCTGATCCTAATAAAAGCTAAAGCTACATGGACAAGACTAACAGCTGGAGGAATGTTACATGCTCAGAAAATAAAGCTTAACCAAGTCAGAGAGAATAAGAAGTTTTCTTTAACCAACCAGGATTAGTCTAAGAACTTTCAAGCATGGTGGTGGCAGTATCATTCTGTGGGGCTGTTGAGGTATTTGTTGACTGCGCTAAAAACGGTCCCCATCCAGAAAATTAAAATTAAGATGAGCAAATACAAATATAAATGTGGTTTTTTTTAGGTGAATTTGACAAAATCACCTCAGTTTTGCATCTAATTCATCCCTATTTGTGTAGTGATCCCATCCTGGGAAAAAAAAGCTTAGAATAAAAGTCAAAACTTTGCCTTCTCGTTTTGTGCCTGCTGCAAATAATAGGTAAGCTTTAGAAATGCAGGCAACAAGAAGTGACTATTTGCATTTTAATTTACATGCTAAAAAAAATGTTTTTTTTTTCTAAGGACATATGAAGATTTTATTAAAGACATTTTCATTTTCTTTTCAACAGGGACAAGAATAAGTTTTTAATAACATTTTTATTGAATTTATATAGACATAAAACTAAAAGAGGCAAAGCATGTGGAAAAAAAATGCAGAGCTAATATACAGAACATATTTATCCATCTTGTTTATAAACTTAATGTACAGGTATCCTGGTAAAGAATAAAATTTATCACATATACAGACAATTTCCAGAAAAAGAAACAAACAGAACTAATCTCCAGGGAACTCTTCCATGGAGTCCTCCTTGTTCTCCAACAGATCTTCGACTGGGGAGGGAAACTGAATGAACCAGCAACTTTCATCAAACACAACCCAAATTTAGTCCAACTGGAAAAGAATAAATAAAATGACTTTAAAGTAGAGCTCTGATGTGTGAGTTAAAAAAGCGACTTAAATCCAAAATTGGTTCAACAGAAGATGGCTAAATGTGGAAGGACTGACTGTTTCTACAGCATTTCATGCATTTCAAAGGAACAGCAAGTGTAAACGGACAGATAAAGGTTCAGTAAATCATTGAGAGGTGGAAGATGGCGGACACACTTTCTCTTTTCACTCCAAGTTATACATTAGTGGGACTGTAAATGTTCCTGAATATCTTGAAAATAACTTAATCCACCTCATCACAGTTTTCTCCAAACATAATGATAAAATAGGGATAAAAGGAAACCTTACAAATGCCTTTTCACCACAGTAAAAATAAACAAAAAAGTGCACACAGACACAATTAAAGATTATATAAAAAAAAAACAATAATAATGGCAGCAATAGTCAAGTCTGTGTACCCATTACAATCAGGAAAACATTCAGGACACACATTCATTGATATTTTTGTTAGTCTTGGTCAGAGACTCAGAATATACAGCAAAGAGAAACATCTGTAAAAATTAAAACGTACAATACGCACAGTCGACGGTGGATACACGTTCTTTTCATGCAGTTCAGTGGAAAGTATCTGAAACTTGACCGATGTGTACCTCCCTCTTGGTTTCTCTCCCGTTTATGGACATTCATTGTTGTTTGAGGCCACATTTGCACAGAGTGGATGGTTGATTTGAGGTGTTGAACTAGTTACAGGACGACAAAAGCATGCAAACTTTTAAAAGTAACCTCCCGACCCTTTCTGAGGCAATAGCACAGTGAAGTGTAAGAGTGGGTATTGCCAGAGATACAGATTAAATGGTCACTTTTCTTCGAGTCACTAGTTAAATTGGAATTTGTGAAAAGAACAATTAAATACTGTACAGTCTTAGTAAAGCTAACGCTAATCTTTGGTCTTCAAAAATCCAGTGCAGGACTTTTTGACACGTTAAAGTTAAATAATAAATTCTAAATTCAGCCCTCTGTAACTCGAAATGCAGACATTTATAAAGCAATTTGTTTAGGTAGCTGTTGTTGCAGTTCGAGATTTTGAAATCTCGGGACTAATAAACATTTAAAGGGACTCTTTCGAAAAATGTCTAAGCACGTGGATCTTTAATCCCTTAATTGGAAACAAAAGGAGTCCACAACATTAAAAGGCATTCAACGCAGCTAACTGAGCTAATTTTAGCGTACTGCTAGCAGAGGGAAACCGGCTTTTTGCTTGTTTTGAAATATTTAGCAAACTTTAGAATAGCTTTGATATAGAATAGCTTCTTGTTTAAAATGACAGAAAAATACTTTGAAGGAGACAATTACTTCGAAATGTTAAGCCAAAAAAAATATTTGGCAAACTATTCTTTTTGCTACCTTATATAGGCCTACTAAAAAGGAACTAGCTGACTTTAGCATCCCACTACAAGGGGAGGTCAGTTTAGCTTGGTTTGGTTTAACTTCTTTTTCTTTATGAAATAATTATTGACTAATCCTTTTACTTTAACTACACAAAACTTAAATAAAGCATTTTTGTTAAAATCGGAAACCATATTCTTTTTTACCTGCTACTCTAAACACTAAAAGAGAATTCATGAATAAATGTTAGCATTGGAAAGAAATTAGCATATTTCTGTTTTGATTCCAGACTGTTCTTTTTAATTAATTAGCGACATTTTTTTTCTCCCCTAAAGATATATGAAACACAAACAATTTAGTATTTCAAATCATGTGATTACTTTTTGCTATGTTTTACCCTAATAGAGAAATGTAGCAAACTTTAGGGTAGCTCTTAAAAATGGGAAATTAGCCTTGCGTATATTAGCTTTAATTCTTGGCTGCTCATATAGAAATAATTAAAAAATGTACTTTAAGTATATGACTTCAGCATTAAAAATCATTGAATTTGGAGTCAATTGTGGAATTTAACAAAACGGATATTAGTTTTTGTCACATGGTAACTATAAGTATTAAGCAAACTGGTTTGCTACTGCAAAGAGGAAACTAGCATAGCTTGTTTTAGCCTGTTTAACCATTTGTAATATTCTGGAGGGGAAATATTAGCTCAGTTATTTTTGTTTACTTTCAGCAGCTTTATATTCATGTGTAAAACTACTTTCAATAGGAGGTTCTACTCAGTTTCGTAATATATTTTCTTGTGGTTGCCCCTTTAAACGTCTTCCTGGCTGAAATGTAGCGTCAGAATGAGTGTCATCAAACCCTCATGGTGCATAGCTTTACAAATAAATACAATAAGGTGCCTTATCTTGGCTTTGTTTTGTCTCAGTAAATTCTCTCTGTGAATTATTTAGACTAGGCTAATCTCTGCACTCAAATTTAGTAGAGAAAAAGAACATTTGAAAACATTTTCCTAAGCCTAAAGCAGCTACTTTAAACCAACTGAATAAGGGTGTATGGATATGTAGATACTACCATATAATGATGGGATACAAAAAAAGATTTATCTAAGCAATGGTCTGAACCCTGTTTGTCTTGATACCAAAATGTCCTGAAGGCAAACATGGAAATTTATAGAGCATGGCTATGAATGAGATTAAGAGAGGAAACTTAGGGAGAGAGGAGAGACAGAGAGGTAGTAGTCGTTTCTCAATTCTTCTTCACAACTGCCTCCTTCTCCTCCTATTCTCTTGCTTCTGAAAATGTTTGATGTTGTTCCTAGTTCCTCCATTTCCTCTCGTCTTAAAGATGTTCCTCTGGTGTTTGGATTTATAAAATCACTTCCAGACGTGGGCCGTCATGTGCGCTGAACTGGGAGCAGCTGAACTTCCTGTGTGCTGGCTGCCGTACCCTGCCATCCCGTTGGTGCCGTAGAGATTCATGCCGGCTACCTGCTGAGTCATCTAAGAAATAGCAAATACAATTTAGAAAAAAACAGTGGGATGCTTTTCTTCCTTTTTCTTAATTTTTAATTGAGGATCCTGCAAAACTATGACGCACACACCTGAGCCATGTTCCACTGAAGCTGCTGGCCGGCATGTTGCACTCCAAACACTTGCTGATGAGGTAATGAGGCCACGCCGCCAACCTGCTGTTGTCCCATCATGCCACTCTGCTGTGGACCTAATCCTCCATTCTGCTGATGTAAGAGCATTCCGCTTTGCTGCTGTCCCATCATTCCCTGGCTCATCCCCGTCACGTAAGGTGTTGCTACAACACCGCTTGGCTGAGCCATGACACCCTGAGCAGCCATTAATCCATTCTGCTCTCCCGCCATGCAGTTCTGCTGTGCTCCAATCATGCTGTTCTGGTGAACCCCCATCAAACTCGGCTGCTGACCCATCATTGCCATTTGTGGCGCCATCATGGCTCCTCCCATTCCCCCAGCCTGGGCTAAACTATGATATGGACCATACGGGTGTGTTGGGAATCCCATTCGGTTCATGTACAAGCCAGCTGAAAACAATCGTAAGGAAAGACAATAACGACCAAAATAAGCTGAGCAGTGTGTCTGTATTCTAATATCGAGGAAAAGCTGTGGCGATCTTACCGTGTGGAGCCATACTGCTGGCATGCAGGGAAGGGGTGGAAGAATAGAGGGAGAGAATAGAGTCCTTGGACAGCTTCTTTACCGTGCCTTGCTCCGATTTGGGTTTTGGATCCGTGAATAAGCTGAGGTTTTCAGGCACTGAGGCGGTGACCCTGCTTTGAGGCAAGGAGCTGGCTGCAGGCTGGATAGAGTAAAAAAAAAAAAAAAAAAAAACTAAAATCAATGCTATACTGAACTATTAAATTAATTCCTGTCAGAATTTTCCTTTACAAACACATTTTATGTATGCAACTTCCTCTGATTCTAGCACTAACTCTAGAGGTAAATAAATTAATAGAAAAAAATATTTTTTGCAGTGTTCTTTTATAAAAATGTTATTTTCTAATGTTGCTTTGCATGCAATAGAAAAACTGTACTTAAAAGTAATATTGATGGTCATCGTATCTCAGTGGGAGTTTCTGAGAGCTGTTGATGCAAATCATGGAAGCAGAATTTAAAAAGAAACTTTGAAGTTAGAATATGTATGTTTTTTTCCCCCCTCCACAAAAATGTACTGTTTCTTTTAGATTAGACAAAGATTACATTTATCTTTCCACACTAAGGCTGGTTGAAGAAAAAAACAAACAAACAATAAAATAAATGATATTATATAAAGCAGGTAGGATCGTGGCGTGAGTCTTGACTTTCAGCATTTGTGTCATTTTTGGTTTAGCTCTGCTGAATCAGCTGTATACATAAAGCCCATTATCTTAAGGCTGGGGGAATATTGTCCCTTTGGTTCTCAGACAAATGGGATTTTTGCTTTCTTTTTGTCATGCATTTGTATGTATGTCTCTGTTGCATTTTAAAATAAACTACTGTGAGCTAGAAGGAAAACTGTAACACAACTAATGGTAATTTATATATATATATATATATATATATATATATATATATATATATATATATATGCCCTTTAATCATATTTTTAAGCAGATAGGAACATGTGGGAAAACCTGGCAATATGTGAACTAGACAAAAAGTAGATTTCTTAACAAGACATTGCATATGTGTAAAGAACTTACTACCATAGTTTTGGTCGAGGGCGCTGAGGAGGGGGCTGGCAGAGAGCCAAAGAGATCCAGAGCGGCTTGTGCCTGAGCTGGATTAGACATCGCCGGGCTCTCATTACTGTCGGGAACACATCCTCCACCATTATGTACCGCAGGACTCGGAGTAGGAGCATCTAATGGAGGGTAGATGGAAAAAGAGAAGCAGTTATATCTCTTCTAGGTATGAGTCAGCAATTTTTAGAACAATTGACCAAATTAGGCCCTACAATTTATAGCATAAAGGGGTAATTACACATGAAGTGCAACTTTGCAGCCAAACAAGCTGCCTTTATTGCAATAGAACAATAAAGCTGTGTGTAAATATTACTGTCTACACACAATGTCTTAGTGAATGTGAGGAAGGTTTAAAATATACAATACCGAGTCCAAGTAGGTCTGAAACAGCCTGGGAGTCTGTTTTCGGACTGATGTCTTTTTTCTGAGAAAATCAATACATTTGATGCAATGTTAATGCTAACTGGAAAATGCTCAGGAACCTAAATGACCTTCGTGATAAATGCAACTTAGTGGCTGGCTGAGAACGTCTGCCTTTAAAAAGCATGTCTGTTTTACCTTTAATCTAAAACTCTTTATAAAGCCTCCAACTATTAAAAAAAAAATGAAAAATAAACCTACCGGTTTCATTTTCTCAAACACAACAGGTTCCTTGGGGATGTTGTCACAACTTTTTTCTTTCTGATAACAGAAAACACACGTTTAGGTTACATAATAGAGCTGCATTTTATTGATCCAACAGATTCTGATCAAGATAATGCATAACTTTTATTTTTTTTATTAGCAAATGAAAACTCACCCTAAGCATCTGGATGTCAATAACCTTATCCATATATTTCTTTTTATCATATTTGTCCCTGATGAAGATCTCTGCGGCTTGGTCCGTCTCAGGCCGTTGGAAGCATTCGGGTAAAAAGGCCTCATAGAGACGTTTGGCCTTAGCGTTTCCCATCTCTTGAACACACTAGAGTCACCAGTTCAAAACAAAAGCAATTATTAAAGCGCATTAAAAGAGGAGGAGATTATACAAGATCCATCTTGATTATATAGAAGCCCTAATGGATAAGAGATAGTTCTTTATCCATGACTTTGGGCTCCTCTGTCGCCTCTCTAGTAGCATTATCAATAGTCGTCCTAAAACAACTTTGGACCTGGTGCCTTATTTTCCCTTTAATACACCATTCAACATATTTTCTCTGATTTTTATTTTAAAACAAATTTTTATCTATATAATCTTGTATCTGATCAAAAAGGTTTTAATACCTATGTTGCACCGTCATCTTTGCACTTATGTTTACGTCAAGATTAAAAGACTGAAATCATGACAGAAGCATGAGAGGCTAAAGATTATTACCCTTTTCTGTCAGTCATCAACTTCTTCAGATAACATATAAATGCTTATGCAAAACAGAATAAAGAACAAACAAGATATGTGTGGGAAAGAAATAGAAAAACTTTTTTTTACTGATTTATGGTGTCAAAAATGATAGTGGATATGTGCAATCTCTCTAATATTACCCACAAGATAGCTTGTCCCTAGTTGTCTGATAACAGTGGGTTATAGCTTTATAAAAAATATATAAAAAAAATATATACACATATATACATTAAATTGGATATATCAAAAATATAATCCACAGTTTTCTATGTTTTTTTTGTAGCTATTATGTCACTTTAAAATAGGGACAGTCAAGCCTCTGACCTGGACCTGCTCCTGTGTCCACTGATCCAAGTTGACAGACTTGACCTTTGAGATGTGGACCCCCAGATTTCGATGAATCCCAGCGCAGCGAATGCAAATGAAGATTCCCAAATTCCAGGAAGCCCATCTTGGACCTGGGAGAGATGGAGGAAGAAGAAATATTTGAACACAAAGACTCTCCAAAGAGACCATGACAGAGGGTAATGAGTTTGGTGGTATAACAGAGTGCCAGATTGCGTGGGAGTGAGATCAATAACAGAGTCTGAAACCTTAATTGTGAGTTTAAATTCAGCAGGGACCACAATATTTCATAAGTTATGTGGTTTGCTAATAAATAAAATTATCCAATACACGTGTTATTCGACATGAGTGAGAATGCAAGGGGAGCAAACAACAAAGAAACAAATCTCAGTCTGGATACCTGCAGGGATGATTACTCATTTGGTCCTGAGCCTGCATGTGTGGGAGAAATGTTATCTGAACACGCTATTATGTTCACAACACTGTCATATGAATCTAAATGGATCCATCTAATGTTTGCATCACCCTCCAATAGCTGTGTACACAGTGTAATATCTATGATGCAAGGCTGCAGGCCTGATTAACCTTTATCATGTTATTTATATAGTCTGTTTTAGTCAATGTTTTGTTATTTTCTATTATATTTACAATTTACAATATTTCCACTGTCGGTGGGAGTGAGGATAATAGTAGCTGAGAGCTCTAGTCCCTATCCTCCTCCTCCTGTTCGCTATACTCTCTGCCTGCCTTGGGCAAGATTGCAGTAAGCAGGATGGAGGAGGATGACCTGATGAAGCAGGAGGAAGTGGTAAATAACAAGGGAGCAAGACTGTGGATGGCCCTCAATGTGTGCACCACCATCTTTACATCCTTTTTCAATTTAATGAGGAGCTGGTGCAGTTGTTCCTAGACTAGCTCGATGTGTTAAATCGTACAACTGTGATTTCTGAACGATTCAATGTTTCTAGAGAATTATGATGGAAACCAGAGAATAGAAAATAGTCAACACAGCAGGTTAGGAAGCTGCAGACAAGATAGCTCTCGTATGAGGGTTGAGGTTGGAACAGAGAGAATTTATGTTAGAAAGATAAAAAGAAATAAAAAATCAATAACTGTGAAATTTTTTAGAAAGAAGAAGATTAATATGCATTCCAGAGTGGCAGGTAATAATGAGGGTGGGAGAGAGGTATTTCAATTTGTAGAAAGCATTTGCAATAGCAAGACGAAGAGTGAATGAATAGAAGGGGGGTCAGGATAGAGCTTTGAGGACCACCGGAGGTAACAGGGAGGAGGTCTGTTTTGTGAACTTAATGTTGCTCGGGAGAAATAAAAACTTTAATAACTTTAAAATGTCTTTAATGATTGTAATTAGTCATTAAAGACATTTAATAAAACAAATAAAAGATAGCATATTAGGAAGAAATGTGTGAGAAGACAAAGCATTCACTAAAGGATAAGAAGAGGGAGACCGGAATCAGCTGACATTAGGTCCTTTTTAGATTGTATTATAAATGGGTACCATTTATTTTTCTCATTTTTTTTTTGTTTTATGGTTAAATGTAATGTTTTTCTTTATTCCTTTTCAAATTCCAGAATTTTTTTATTTTTAGATTAATTATTTCTATCCTTATAGTATTTATTGATTAGTACTTTAATGTTGTTTGAATAGCTATTTTTTTCATCTTCAATATAAAATATATATTACAATATATATATATACAATATAATATATATATATATATATATATATATATATATATATATATATATATATATATATATTATATTGTATATATATATATTGTATGTGTTGGGATCTGAAGATTCACCACCTTTCTCCAGCAGAGTGCGCTGTGGGTCTCCTGGGCTGGAGCCCTCCAGCACACCTGACGCTCATCAGCCCATCAGGAGACCTCCCTTCAACGCTGCAGTGTTGACCAAGTTTGGTTAGCGAACCTGAGCCTCTGTTATTCTGATAGAATCTTAGTCGTCTCTAGAGAGAAACCTGATTCTAATCTGCCTCTGTCTTCTTGCTCACAGTAAACCCGTCTAAACCTAAAGCTCTGGATGAGCTTTGCCTGTAAACCTGCCTGCCTGCCTAAGGGAGCCAAACCTGAAGATCTCAATCTGGACTCCTCCTGCTGCTCTCAAGGAAGAGCTGGAATCTCAAACCAAGGTCTGCCACTCACAAGTCAGAAGCTAGACGCTGCTGCTGCTGAGCCAACCGGTTCCCTCTCTCACAAAGATCTGTCTGGACCTCTTCAAGGTAGATTCTGAATAATCTAAATTCAACAAACCATCTGACTGCCTGGCTAATCAAACTATCCGTCTCTGCAGACATCAGTGAATCCAGTTCCGGACCACTGCCTGACCCAGTTCATGTTCTTTGTGTGAAAACCTTCAATAAACTCTGTTAAACTTTTACTCTGCTTCCAGTGGTGTTCTGCATGTGGGTTAAGTCTCTTAAGCCAATCATGACAATATATATATATATATATATATATATATATATATATATATATATATATATATATATATATATATATATATATATATATATATATATATATATATATATATATATATATTAGTGCTGTCAAAATTATCGCGTTATTATCGCGTTAACGCGAGGCCATTTTAACGGCGATAATTTTTTTAACGTGAGATTAACACTATGTGGTTTTATGGTACAATTTTCCAAGTACATCCCGCTGCAGCCTGCGGGAAGGCGGGGCTATTTTCCCCCAGTGTATGCATTTCTCATAGGCTTCAAGAGCGGAGCTCCTCAAGGAAAAAAGACGCTCATACACTGGGTAGCGCTAGTGCCTTTTCTTTAAGCGCCACCACCAACAAACAAGTTGAGTGTCTGGTAACTAGTAGCAACCTGAAATACGCTGAGAAAACAGATTACTGAGGTGAAATGGAATCTGCTACGGCACTTGCTGTCTGTGTACGCCACAGGTCGGTATCGTGTGTCTGTGTGTGTGGGTGTGTCTGTGTGTGTGGGTGAGTGGGTGGGTGGGTGGGTGTGTGTGTGTTCTCATTTTTGTTAAGAGGCTGAAAAGTAACTTTCTAGAGCATAGACTACCTCCATCTAGTGATGTCGGTCTATTGATTTTGATGTATTGATTGAAAATTGTTCATTATTATCTTGGTTAATTAACATCTAATGTTAACTGTACTACATTTTATAGCAGTAGGGTAAAATGCTTGTCTTTGTTCAAAAGACTGTATTGACTGTAAAGACTGTCTTTTACATCAGCCTGTTTTCATGGCCTTTTTCATATTTGTTATTTTTTGCTACATGCCTCCCCATCTTCTTGCCATATGTTTCTATGGCATAAATCAGTGTCTGTGACCTGTTTTCATTTTAAAAAAAGAACATTGGCACAAACCTAGCCTGTATGTATTTTTTGTATGTCATCGAGAGTATTTAAATGATTTTCAATCAGAAAAAAAATTTGCAATTAAAATGCGATTAATCGCGAGTTAACTCAGGCATTGATGCGATTAATCGCGATTAAAAAAATTTAATCGATTGACAGCACTAATATATATATATAAAGCCTTATTGAATGAACATGTTCTGCCTTGCTACAAGTGTAAGCACTGTGGCCTCTTCACCACTAGGTGGAGGAACAGCTTTGAGTTTAGATCCTTCTTTCCTGTCAAACATCTCATTGTGCAGAGTTGAGGAAAAGGCCATTCTATGCAAATGAAAAAGGAAGTTGGTTTTAAGGAGCAGGATCTCACAAAACCTTCCTCTTTATGGCTACTGTGGAGTTTCCAAGAATAGCTTTTGTCTTGGCTGCATGTCTCCTATACTCTCTTCCTAAGATTAACCGGAAGAATATTCTTTCCAGTCTTTCAAGCTTAAAAAGCAGAGTAATGCAAACAACAAACGGGGCCATCAGCGGAAAGAGGAAACCAATAAATGTAAACCACAGGATCATCAGATGGAAGAGTCACCCATCTGCCTGACTGTGGAGCTGCAGCATTAGCTCTCATACAGGCTAATAATAGTAGATTTACTCTGCAAAGCCTGCTTAACCGATGTGAAGACTGGCACTGACACAAAGACACTGGCAAATGTGTGGAGGATCTTTTAAAAGAGGAATTCGAAAATCCTCACTCATTTTTTCCCCCAAACTATCTTAGCTTCTTAAACTAATTTACCCTCACTACCATACAACCACTCTATACATCAAAATCTCTCCAATCTTCCTTTTCCATTGATCTCTGCACCCAGACTGCCAGACTGCTTTTTTGTTCTAATCTTTTACATATTGTAAACATTTGAGTTATTATTTTAGCTATTGTAAACTAATCAACTAATTGAAGCACAGAAGTGATACCAGACTGAAAAATCTAGAAAGTGATCATGCTTACATGTTTGCACTTATGCAAAAGACCAAATGAGTGTCCACTTAAAAAGCCATTTTCAAGGGTAGGTTTTTGCTGGCTACTAGAAAGTAATTGTATAAGAGCAAAAGCAATGATTTGCAGCATACTGATGGTATCATACAATGCCATTACTATTGACAATTTGGTAAAGGTAACTAAGGCTGTATCAAAATCTTGTCTTATCTCAGGATGCTAACATTTTTTCTATAAATGAGGTCCATGTGTTGTATCGTGTTGACATCAACGTTTTGACTTTATCTGGTGAATAAAAGCATAATTTATCACTACAAGCCCTGAATGTTAACGCAAGTCCTTCTCGCAGACATAAAACAGCATTTTGCATCTACATATGAGGCTCTTATTCTTAAGTAAGAGGGGAAGTGGTTCTTTAATAGCATTGCTTCCTGATTTGCTGTCTAGGATAATGTGAGGTGGAGGTGGTTTCTCCCAAGGTGAAATGTGTTACCCAAACCTCAATCTGACTCAGTGAATATTTCACTGCTTGTAATAACAAGCACATAGAATTCACCTATTCATTAAAGTGCTCTTCATCAGAAAAATAACTGACTAAATGCCAATCGCCATGGTAAATTAAATTAGCAAAAAAAGTTATGAGAAAAAACGCAATGCAACGAAATCTACTAGAAATTAAAATTCTATAACAAATTGATTTACTTGTAAATACAGGTTAAATAAACTGTTACAATAT